GAATGGAATGACATGATGTCAAGGATTTGCTGCAAAATAAACAAGTGAGTGGATATAGGGAGTAGTAGGTGGGCCTACCAGGAAGGAAACCAGACTGGTCAACCTTGAGGTGGGCTCATGGACTCACTGTATGGTCCTCTCTGCTCTTGTATGTTTGAAATTCTGCACAATTAAAATATTTAAATCAATCAATATAGAGGTGAACAATCATTTCTATAGAGAAAGAGAGCAAACAGGTCAGAGAACACACACACATACAAATGGTCAATAGTATTTGAAAAGATGCACAACCTCCATCATAATTAAATACAAATTCAGCTGGGGAACCATTTTGTACCTAGAACTTGGCCAAGATGAAAAGTCTGATAGTACCCAGTGCCAGCAAGGACACAGAAACAGGCACTCAGATCTACTGACAAGTGGCCAGGACAGCCTCTTGGAGGACAATGCAGCAGCATCTATGATCATTTTAAAGACAACATTCCACTCAGAGGAATTTATTCATCAGATATACTTGCATAAGTATACACAAAGGTATGTTCAATGATGTTCTTGAAGCAAGGTTTCTGGTAGCAAAAATAGAAACCAACTTGAATGTGCAGGTATTAAATAGGAGGTAGATCCACATGTACTGGATACCCTTGATAACCTAGAGGCAGCTGAAAGAGATCATTAAAGGGAAAGACAGGAAGTTTCAGAATGGTGTATACAGCATGACTTTTGGGTTAAAAAATACCATGAAGAGAAAACATCTGGCCATATATTTTTTGTCAATAGTCCATAGCTTTTGGAGGGTACGGTGGGATTGTTGGGGGCAGAGGAAGGAGGAAGGTGGTTTATTTTTCACTGTGCATTTCTGTTGTGTTTTTTTTTTTTAACTTGAGGGTGTGTTACTTTTGTAATGTAAAGAAGTATCAGTATTAGAGAAGTATTTACAACATCTTCAAACTCTTGAAGCCAATCAGACAAAATCAAAGTGCCTTCCCTGCACTCCAAAGAAAACTGGGCAGAGAACCCAGATGGGAGCTCACAAAAGTGGTCAACAAGTAAATGAAATGTCTACCTACCCACAGTAGCACCAAATTCTCCCTCCTCCCTGGATCCTCGGTGCACCGTTCCCTCCTGCAAGGCACCAGTTGAATGTTTACCCTCCTGATGATAATGCAGTTCATACACCAGCACAAGGCCTTCCCCCTTCCTTCTGCACACTGGTAGCATATCATATATGGCATGTCACCATGTTTTTTATTCAACACTTTATCTTGAGGTGCTTAGTGGCTGCAGTGTTCCACTCTGTGGATGCATCCTAGTTTATGTAACTTCAGTGCTACTGATGGACATCCAGGCTGTTTCCCTGCTTTTGCTGCTACAGACAACGGTACAGATCCTTGCACGGTGACCACTGTGTACATGGTGTGCAGGCTGGGCACATTCCTAGGTCTGGCTACGGGATCAAAGTAGAAATTATAAAATTTCCCCACAGTTTTACATCTATTATACAAAACTCAACTCCCCATACCTTTATGAACCATACTGAACCTTCCCCATCTTTGCCAATCTGATAAAAACCGTCTCCTGCTATAAACTTTCTGGTAGTAAGTATCAAAAGGCTTGGACTTGCACATCTCCTTGGATCAGAAATTCCACTTCTAGGAGTGTACCCTAGGTAAAGAATAAGGGATAGCGGGCAAGATGTTCACTGTAGCCAGTTCGGTGGACCAATGCCTAAAATGTACCTCATATTGTGCTTGAATTTTCACTTCTTTTTTGTACCATGAACACATTCTCTTTCCTCTTTTTTTTACCACCACCCCTTGGCCCTCTCAATGGCTTTCAACCACCATTAATGGTTGGCACGTTTCCTTTGTTAACTTTAAAAATAAAACCAGCAGTTGTTTTACCAGCAAAAAATGGGTTTATTTGGGAACAGCAGAGAATTGCAATCCAAGACAAGCCTGGTAAGGCAAAACCATAGGCAAGTCCAGAGAACAAAAGAGAGGAATGTTCTTTTACAGAGGAAAGTAAGAAGTAGGGAGGGCTGTTATAAACAAAAAGTCCATTAGAGTAAACTGGGAGTTCAAAGTATAGTGGCTTTTCATTGGCTGAGTTGTGACTGTCTCTCATTGGCTGGGCTGTTGCCAGAGGAGTAGAAAACCTTTCTTTCTTCTGCTGGGATACCAAAGTAGTAGCTAAAGTAGCAGGGACTTACATGGTTTCTCTTCCATTTGGGTCTGCAATTAAGGAGTTTAGGAGTGGTAGGGCGTGAGATCACTCCCTGCTGGCTTTCCAATTTTATTGTAAAGGAGGTTCCCTTTTATTTTCATACCTCAACCTTTTTATTGAAGATTTTTAACAACTTAAAAATATGAAAAATGCTTTAATAACAACAGTAGGCATTTGTAATTATTTTCCTTTTAATCCTTTACTGCAAAAAAACTTAGAACATATATCAAAGTAGAAAGAATATTGTAACAAACCCCCTGTCTGCATCACCTAAATGTGACAATTAGTATTTTGCTTCAGTTTTTCCCCCTCCACTGAAGCATTTTCAAGCAAGTATCAGGCTGATATTTCACCCCTAAATACTTCACTATACCTAAAAACTAAGAACATTTTCTAAAGGAACTCCAATGTTATATTGTTACCCAATAGATTAGCAGTAATTCCTTTAAAACTTCTGTAACTTTTCTTTTGAAATGTCATGTTTATATAAAAGTTGCAAAAACAGGGCACAGATCTCTCATGCCTTTCACTTGGATTCCCCACGTTAATATTTCTGAATATTGAGAATACTAGAACACGAAAATCAGTTGCAGACATGACACAGGGCTTTTCCTGGTCACAAAGGCCCTCTACTCTCTCTGGGCCACTGCTCTCTGGCCAGAGGAGATGCTCCAAATGGTACACACCAAAGCCCACCCCCACTTCTGTCTCCTCCCTTGTCCTTCACATTTCAAAACCATACAAGAATGATTTCTTCCTAAAAAAAGTCAAATAAAAGATGCATAAATATCTCTTTAAGCACTGTACCAAGCCTCAAATCCAAGGCTCCCTGTGAGTCCTCAGGATATTATCTGTGCAATACACAGGGCACTACAGTGGACATTTCCCACAACTTATTTCATGCTTTAATTACTGTTATTTTATTGATTCACTTTACAAACCCCCCTGCTCAAACATCCAGGCAAAGGTGTGCCTAAGCTGTCCCCAGCAGCAGCAGTGACCACTTCTGACCCTAGGATGGTGACTCAAGAAGTAGAACATTTTAAATGCTAAGAAACTCTACCAAACTGCCATCTGAAAAGCCTTTACCTACAGGTTCTTCCACCAGCACAGTATGAGGGGTCTTGTTTCCCCCAGCTATCATTTGACAGTACATACCATTCACATCCAATGGCTAAACACAGCTGATGAGCAAAACGTGGACCCAACCGTCTTCCATAAAGCCCCCCACTACTGGTGAGGCCAAGTGTGTTGGCTTCTCTGAGGAACTTGAAAGAATTACACTCAAAGACTTCTTTAGCAGTGGAAGCCACAATAAAATGAATAATAAATAGTTTGCACAAAGGCCTGCTCTGAGACTTCTGTGCTGTTATTAAAAAACAAAACACCAGTGACTAAAGGCCTGCTCTAGGCTTGGTGAAATAGTGAATGCAGCCCCAGGCCTCATGGTGCTCACCCGGGAGGATGCTCAGAGTAAGCAGGGGAGCATCATCCTCATGCCTGTGATGCTTGCAAGGTACAGGGGGATACAGTGAACAGGAAGGGCAGGAGCCCCACAGCTCCTGAAAGTGAGGAATGAGGACATGTAGTCAGATGAATGGTGGCCCCAAAAGATATGTCCACAGCCTAATTCTTGGAGCCCGTGATCTTATTCAGGAAAAAAAAAAAGTCTTTGCAGATGTGATTAAGCTCAGAATCTTTAAATGAAGAGGTCATCCTTGATTTTCTGATGAGCTATAAATCTAAGGACAAGCATCCTTATAAGAGACACACAGAGGAAACTTGACAGTAAAGAAAGACCACGTGAAGACAAAGACAGAAACCGCAATAATGCAACTACAAGCCAAAGAATATTAAGGACTGTCAGTAGCGACCAGAAGCTTGGAAGAGGCAAGTAATGGAGGAGGGTTTGGGAGTGGAGCCAACACCTTCATCTGACTTCTGGCCTCCAGAATTGTGAGAGAATAAATCTGTTATTTTAAGCCACCCAGTTTGTGGCAGTTTGTTTTGGCAGTCCCAGAAAACTAATATAAATATCATACTACTTCTACTTTGTACGTATTTTGGAATTTCCATAACTTGCATAAAAGTTTTAGTGGCATATCTTTCATTTGTGAGCTGAGGTTACATCAAGGTGAGAGAGGCTCTGGAAGGCCCTAGATTCACATGAGTGGGGCCAGAAGTCACAGACATCCCTGTGAAGTCCTATTGCCTGTTCTCCATCAAGACTCCTCTCACTAGGCCACTGTTGCTCCTGGAACCCTTATGAGCACGTCCACCTCAGGGTCTTTGCGTGCGTCATCCAGGTGGTCCCTGCTGCTTCATGCCATCCTGTAACTTTCAGGGCATCTGCAGAGGTCTCCCCCACTCTCCATCCCCCTGCCTGACTTGTTTTTTCATAGGCCTGCCCCAAGTGGTGTGATGGCTTTCTTACTTAATGTTATACCCCCCTTCACATCAACTTGGGGGCATGCTGTAGGGTCCTGACACATGTTCTGTGTAAAACCAAGGTCTTTGGGTACATACCAGTCCCAGTCTGAGATGGGCTCTCACAGGGCCCCTGACTCCCAAGTGACAGCAACACCAAATCTCCCAAACCTTGGCTACGGCTAAGGGGCAAGCCAGCAGGTTGGGCCTGCCTTGTCCTAGACACAATGTCAACAGCACACCTGCAAATGTCTCTGAGCTGTCAGCTCCCCACCTAAGAAGACCCAGTGGAAACTGTCCCTCACACTCAGCCTGACGGTGGGCTTGTCCTGACCACACAGAGGCAAAGGGGGTGGTGTGGCACATAGACTTTATTCTGACCGCTCCCCAAGTCCTCGGTCCAGGCCCGCGTCCTCACCAGCGCGTGGGTTCACTCAGCACTCAGAAAGACCCTCTTGCGTGCGGTATTGGTGTACGGGTGCCAGCGCCACTCCACATCTGCTATGGCCTCCTGCTCCAGGGTGCCCAGGCGGATCATGTACACTGGGGGGGCGGAGATGGGCACATTGCCACCTACGCCGCCAGCACCCCCCCACCACCAGAAGGGCAGGAAAGCCCCAAACTCACCCTTCAGTTCAAAGCGAGGTCCAACCTCGGTCAGCTCCACACTGCGGTGGCTGGTCTTCCTATATACATGGTGCCTGAGGCAAGGGGAGGCAGGGCATGGGCAACGGAAGACAAGGAGCAGATGTGGGTCAATAACAAACAGCAGTGGGACACAAAGGTCAGGACACTATTCCAAGGCCAGCCCACGGACCTACCGGAAGGAGATATAGTCATCTTGGTTTGCGAAGGTGATGACCCGGTGGCTGTCATCTTTGGGCACAGGGAACAGGTAACGGAGTATGTCGGAGACCTGGGTCAGAGGGAAGGAGAGTGGCAAATGCCCAGCCGGGAACTCCCTGCCCCCAGCCCTCATCACCCTGTGGACCCAGACTCACCCGCTTGCCTAGTCGGGAGGAGAAGCCATGCATGATGAGGTGAGGCTTGGCCTCAGACATGGTGCCCAGGTCAGGGATGTCGTGCCGCATGACCACATTGCACAGTGTGAAGTAAGCAGTAGGACCGAAGGGCAGGTGGCTGACAATGAGCCCCACTGGTGGGGCCAGGCGGGCCGTCAGAAACCTCATCGGCTCTCAGACAACCACCCCAGAAGACACCCTGTTCCCACCCACAGTCTTACCAGGTGTGCCTCGATGTTCATGGACAACCAGCAGGTCAGTGACACCATTGGCTTTGCAGGCTCGCACCAGTGCCCCTACCTCATGCCGGCCACGGTTCATGCGTTGGGCACCTGGGAACACCAACTTCAGCTCCTGTGCATGAACTCACTTGAGTTAGGACTGGGGCCACTAGTGCCTTAGCACCTCCCACTCACTTCCCACTACTGGTACCTTTGCAAACATCTTGAGGCGGGAACTGGGGTCTCGGGAGGTAGTGATCATGACCTTAGGATCCTCGACCCCTGCCCATCGATATTCATCATCCATATGGTTGGTCACACCTGTCAGAGCATGAGGGGCAACAACGAGACACTGTCTTGGGAAATACAATGCTAACTTGAGGGCGGCTGAATCTGTCTAGAGCAGCACTGTCTGACAACACCTTCGACGATGAACCTAAAATGCTCCACACCTGCACTGAGCAAGAGGGTGGCTCCCCAGCGACACTGGCTATAAACACAAGTATGACTGACAAACTAAATACTTAAATTTGATTTAATTTTAGTTCATTTTTTTATCACAGAGGACTAATGGCTACCATCTAAGTGCAAGTCTAGATTCTGTTAAGGCCAAAGGTAACAGACTCCTTTTCCTCATAACAAAAATTTATAACGTCTGTGATACCTTTAATATTTGTTGAATAATGCAATGAACGAAACATTTGGGTGTTAATGAAGTGCTGGGACCTGGGGACATGGCAGTGAACAAAATGGACACTGTCTTGCCTCAGCAGAGTTCACATTCTAGTAAGGGGGGCAATTAACAGACAAAACAGAGTAAGTGGGATAATACTGTATGTTATATAAACAAAACTGGGAGCACTAAGAAAGAGCTTTCCTGAGGTGCCATCTGTGCAGTCATGAGGGCATATGGAAGACAGTTTTGCAAGGAGGAGCTCCACAGCCTTTCCTTCAAGGTGTCTGCAGAATGAGATGGAAACCAGCAGGCTCAACTGCAGGGGGAGAAGCTGGCCCAGTGTCAGGAAAGTTTACCTTCACCGCCAGCGTCATCGAACTCCAGGGACCCCTGTAAGGCCAGAGCCTCCCTGCGTAACTCGGTGGGAATCAGGCGATTCTCTGCAGGTGGAACACAGACGGGCTGAGTAAGACACATGCATGGAGCCCTCAGTTTATATAACACTGTGGCTTACAAAAACTGTACAGACTTTATTTAAAAAGTACCCTTTTCACTCCTTTCTGTGCAGAAAGGTGATACACGACTTTTTTGGCAGGGGGAAGACAGAGACAAAACTATTTTTGTCTACATGCCAACCTGTTAACAATGGTTACAGGAGATTTCATTTTCTATGGTTCCTGAGTCTCATGGTTTGAGGGCTTTCTAAAATATTTAGTTGCAATCATATATTGTTTTTGTAATTAGAAAAAAGTTAAAAAACTAATTTTTAAAAGAACAAATACAGAGTGCTCTTTCTGTACGAAGGTGGACCAGAAACCCTGAAACCCTCTGACAACAAAACTGCTAAACTTGATGCTTTGACTCAGAGGTTTCCTCTGTGAACTAAAGCTAGACTTGGTTAAAAAAGGGCTGGGCTGTGGGCATGCCCACTTTGGAGTACAGAGCTCAATATGAACATGCCCTTGGAACCAGCAGGTCTTTCCAATACGCCCTGGAGAAATTCTTGCACATGGAAGAGAAGGTTCATAGCAGCAATGCTGTTCCTAACTGCCCAGACTAAAAAATGAGGTCAACACCAAGCACAGGGAAATGGGAGCCCCCTCTACACTCAATAGATCTTAGAAACAATGCTGAACGAAATCATAAAGCTGGGAAAGAATACATACAACCTAATAACTACGTTTAAAACTAAAAACCAACCCATATGATTTAGGGATACAAACAAGTATGATAAAAGCACAAAAAAAGCAAGGAAATGGCTTATTTTTAAACAGTATCCTGTATTGCGGTTATCTGAGTTGGGCAAAATATTCTTGAATTTCAATATATTGAGGATTTTTTATTAATAATGTGGGCAGATAGGTCACAGGTATTTAACATAACGCTTAATGTAAACATATAGTCACATACCACATGCTCTTTATATGTTTAAGACACAGAAAATCAAAGTGAATTTAAAATAATCAGGTAGTAAGCTGATGTACCATCCAGATAGGAAACAAAGTTCTACACAAGAACCCACACAAGAACCAAGAAAATAGGGATAAATATAACATTTCCATTCAGGCATGTTATTACTCTTCATTAGTATGACAAATAAAAAGTGGAGAAAATATTGCAAAGTTAGATCCTAATTCACAAGTCGAATAAAATTAAATTCTCAACGGTTTAATGCTTTTAAAATGCAACGGAATCATAATAACGATACAAAGACAGTAAAATATTTTTGTTACCTTGTACTGAAGAAGGTATCAAAAAAAAAAAAGAACAATGGGGGAGGTGCGGGAGGGAGAATATCTATAGGACAACGTAAAAATTTAAAATTTGGGAAGAACTAAACACACTATAAACAAAACTAACAGGCAAACTGTAAAATCTGGACACCGCAGCATATACGACAAGACAGGAAATTTACAACATCACGGAAGGGGCATTTGCAAAGCCAAAAGACAAGGAAAACGTCCAGTAAATACTTGAAAGGATGCTCAGCCACACAAACACTAAGAAATGCTAATATAAACGCGTTTTATACCATTTGGTCTTTTACTCCGTTGGATTTTAAAATGCAAACCAATGGTCTTTTATAACGATAGGTCTAGAGCCCCCTCGCTGGGGGGGGGCGGAGACGTGCCTACCTTCCAGGGCGCGCCGAACCTTCTCCTTCCTCTCCTGGGCGGTTCGCAGCGACTCCTCGCGGGCCTTGCGGTACAGGTACTCCCGGCGAAGGCGGGCCTCACGACGCAGCTAGGGGACAGAGGGTCCGATCAGCCTCTTTCTCGCCACGCACAGCCGGGCCTCGGGGGCCACCAGCCTCACCAGCCCCAAGCCTAGGAATAATCCCCAGCCCTGGGTGAGTCCCCAACATCAAAAACAGGAGCTCAAACATCCCTCCTACCATCCTGAGCGCGACTTCCACGTGGGTCCAGGAGAATGCCGGGGCAGCGTAAGCAACGCCACCCTCGATTCTGCCCTCAACCAAGAAGGTCGCTGGAGGCTTCGCTACACTCTGCTACTGTCGGGAGTGCCCAATGTTAAGATGACGGAGGGTGGGTTGGGAGTCGCAAGGCGATTGGCCAATCTGGAGGCGCATGCTTATTGGAACAGCCAATAGGCTGGCGTCAAAACGTTGTCACGTCGCTAAGGATCGCCCTTACTAAAGATGTCGCTGCATGGCTTCATTACTTATCACTGCTGTGCAGGATGCCCAATTTTAAGATGGGCAAGTGATGAACCGCTTGAGTAATAACTGGCGGTTCGAAATGATCCAGCAACCGTAAAAGCAGCACAGCGGTTGACTGGAGGCTCGCCTACCGGCTCCTGGAATTAAAGCCTCTTCTCCCTTAAAATGGCTGCCATACAGCTATGCCTCTTCCATCACCACAGATATCGCCCTACTATTAAAATGCGGCCTCTTATCGCTTCTCGGCCTTTTGGCCAAGTTCAAGTGTAAAATGCGGCCTCTTCCAAAAGCGACTCGGAACCACCCACAGCTCTACCCAGTTCTAGCCGACCGTTCCGTTGCCTCACACCCTTGGGTGAGCACAGCTAGTCAATTCTGGGTCGCTGCTTCAAGAGCGCTTGCCTTTAGAAAAGTTGGGCAACTCGGCCCACGGCTGGGCACGCCCCTTGAAGGTGAGCCTATTGGTTGTCATGGCGGTATGGCGAGCGGCGATTGGGCAACCTGTGAGGAGGCTGCTTCCAGACCTCAGTACCGTGGGCCCATGGCTGCGCCGGACGTAAGGGCGCAGGTGGACTCGCTCCTTCTGCAACTGCTCCGGGACCTGGAAGAACTGGAGGCGAAGAGGGCGGCATTGAACACTCGGGTGGAGGAGGTGGGATCTTGGGGAGGGAGGGATGGGCGGGCATGCGGAGGTAAACTGAGTTTCATCTCTCTCCTCGTATCCCAGGGCTGGCTCTCGCTCTCTAAAGCTCGCTACGCCATGGGTGCCAAGTCTGTAGGTCCCCTGCAGTATGCCTCCCGCATGGAGCCTCAGGTCTGCGTCTACACTAGGTGAGGAGCCGTGCATGTTGGAACAGGTGGGCGGGCAGGGTCCAGGCTGGGGCCTCCAAATGTCGATTCTACCTTCTCATTCTTCAGCGAGGCCCAGGACGGACTCCAGAAGTTCTGGGTGGTGAGAGCCAGCGCCCAGACTCCAGAAGAGGTGGGGCCCCGTGAGGCCGGTGAGTCCCCCTTTCTTCCTGTCAGGGCGTCCTCCCGATGTCAAAAACAAAACGTACAGGGTAACTGAGATGATTTTATTAAGTATTGCGATGGAGAGAACGGCCCAGATGGGAGGATCACAGTGTCTCAGCAGGCTGTTTTGTTTTGTTTTGTTTGTTTGTTTTTTTGCTTTAGACTTCTGTAGGGAGAAATAGACAAGTTATAGGTGATGTCTTTTACAGTTGGGATAGTTTTGTAATTGGGGGAAACTTCAGTCAGTTGAACAGGAAATGTCTGGTTTCAGAGGGACAAACTTCTAATCTCAATCATTTATGAGACGAACGGGAAGTTGGAGGGTCTGTCTGGCCTTTCAGCATGTTCAGGCAAAATGGGAAAAGTAAGTGTGTGGCTCCTTGTTTACCTTGTGGTAAACAAGGGGGTATCTGCTGATCCTGTGAGAGTCATGAGGAGTGGTCTGGGCATCTCATCTGAATCATAAAGGGAAGGGTTGTTCTTTGTGGTAAGCTGTTTTCTGGAACATAAATGGTTGGAGGGATTTTGCAGCCTTCAGTGTTTGTCAGGATCATGAGCTCGGATCAAGTTCAACATTGTCACAGAGAAGACAAGGGACAGGTAATGAGACCCTCAACCTCCAGTCTGTCTTTCTCCAGCTTTGCGCAGACGCAAGGGTCTCACCAGAACCCCAGAGCCGGAGTCCTCCCCAGCCCCCAGGGACCCTCTGAACTGGTTTGGAATCCTGGTTCCTCACAGTCTCCGTCATGCCCAAGCCAGCTTCCGGGAGGGTGAGTAGACTTCTGTCTGCAGGAAGAACTTGAGTACTTAATGCCATGCCTGGCTGGGGTTAATCTGCAAAGGGTTTTCCAGGTTTTCTCCATAGCAGGCTTTTGTTGCACACCTGCTGTTTTTTCAACAAAGCATTTACTGGCTGTTGGCAGTGTTCCAGGCTCATGCTAGGTGCTGGAGATAACAGCAGGAAACAAAAGAGATAAACACCCCTCATGGAATGTTTATTCTATTGAGGGGAGAATGAAAACATGCAAATAAATAAGTAGGCCCATATATAATACCAGGTAGTGAGAATTGTTAGGGAAAAATAAGATAGGGTATGGTGGATGGAGTGGGACAGGAGTGGGTGAGCGTAGCTATTTTATGAAGGGTGGCCTGGAAAGGCCTCTCTGAAAAGATGGAGAGAACTTTATGGTTGATCTGGGGGATCAGTGCTGTAGGCAGAGGGACCAGCCAGGGCAAAAGCTTTGAGGTGAGATCATGTTTAGGATGGCAGAGAGGAGGCCAAATGGGTTGGAGTGGAGTTTATGTATCAGGGAGTGCCAGGAGCGCAGGTCAGAGGGGGCTGGGCCCACGTGATTTGAGGTACAGGCCCTGATGAGGACTTTGGGAGTCATGGGTGGCTCTGAAGAGAGGGAGGCACAGTTGGACCCACAGAGTGATAGGAAGACTGTGGTGCTGGGTGGGAACAGACAAGAGCAGAGGGAGGAAGCAGGTGACAGGGAGCAGCCAGGCTTGAGATGCAGGTGGAGGCAGTGAAGGAGAGGGTAAGTGATGGGAACCTGCATGTTTTGAGAATAGAAGTCACAAGATTTACTGACAGATTAATTTGAGAGTAAGGGAAGGAGAGGAATGAAGGCTGAGCCCAGAGATTCCAGCAGGAACACCTGAGGGAATGAAGTTGCCCTCACCTGGTGGGAGAGAGCTGCAGCCAAGGGTAAGTCAGGACTTGGGTGAGAGTGTGTTCCTAGTGCTGTGTGGTGGAGACTGCTCGGGTGTCTGGGCACATGCATCTGAGTTTGGAAGAGACCTGGGCTGGAAAGAGAGATTTGGGAGCCCACTGCATAACACTTGTGTTTAAATTCCCAAGTTGCTGACACAGACACAGCATTTAAGCTGAAATCAGCAGAGGGCCTCAGAATGTGGACAGAAGGTGGGAGGAGGAAGGGGAGAAACCACTCAAGGAGACTGAGAACTAGCGGTGAGGCAGGAGCAATAACCAGAGGGTGAGAGATCCCAGAAGCCAAGAGGAGAAAGTGCTTCCTGGAGGGAGGTGAGCAGGTGTGTGGCCAGCTCTGCTGTCAGGCAGGTAGGCTGAAGACTGAACTGGCGAGTGGACTGGGCATGGAGGGCCCAGAAGACTGTTAAGCAGAAACATCAGGCAAAAGCCACCTAGATGTGGATCCAGAATGTGGAACACTCCTGGGGGCAGAGAAAACAGAAGAGAGGGTGAGAACAGTGAAGGACTATTATAATGAAGGAAAGAAGGAAGGAAATGAGGGCATGCAACAGTGTTTGTTAGTCCCTGGTGGGTAATATAAGGGAGTAAAGGAAGTCTGTTGAAGAGGTGACATTTTAGTAAAGATCTGAAGGAGGTGAGGGTGTGGGTCTAGTGAGGTTCTGAAGCAGCCAATGCAAGGCTCTTCTTGGAACCTTTTAGGAAGTGTGGAGGCCAGAAAGTTCTGGAGCCTTTCCAGTCCCTGGAGATGTTCAGAGCCCCCGAGTCATGTGTCACATCGAGGATACTATGGTGACAATCTTATCTCTTCCTCTAGGCCTGCAGCTGGCTACAGACATGGCCAGCCTTCAGATCCGGATCGACTGGGGTCGAAGCCAACTCCGGGAGCTCCAGGAGAAACTCAAGCAGCTGGAGCCTGAGTCTGCCTGACTTGTGACCAGAGGCAGGGCAGTGAGCACAGCTGTTCTTTGGTGTGGCTGCCTTATCTCAGGCCTTCCTCCTTCACAGATTGCCCCTGCCCCTATTCCCACCCCAACTAATCCCTTATCCTTAAAATTTCTCTGGTTTGCATGTTTCTAGCTTTGTTAGGTGTAAAAGTTTGAAGAAACAAACTGAATAATGTTGAAAGTCACTACTGTGAAACCACTTCTAAGCTTGTATTCTCCTAGGACACATTCATGTGGGGCAGGGGCAAAGCTGTTAGGTTAGTTCATAAATAACCAGAACAGCCTCATGGATATATCAGCTGTGGCTTCTTTACAGGATGAAATACTGCACAGTTAGTGGCAGGGAAGGACAACAAATAGGTGCTTCAGTTTCACTAGATTCTCAAAACTAATTTTGATGTAGGAAAAAAAGCAAACATGACTAACAAATCAGGACAGTTTGATTCCATGTCAATAAAAAACATGAACACCTAAGTAGATAGGTAGTCCTTGGCAGGTTTTAAGCCCAAAAGTAAAAAAGATCTGACTTAGATTTTCAAGGGAACTCTAGGAACTCTTCTTTATCTTTATAGGAGTGAGACTGAGCTGCTTTTAATTTTTGAAGGGCCAAATGTATTTCCTGTGCTGGGATTGGCTTCATTTTCCTACTGGGTTGTTGGTATTTTTAGTAGTTTCTAGGAGGTAATCTTTATGCTGCGGGAAGATTAATCTTTTGTTCATAATATGGAATGTAAATATTTTTCCCAATTTCTCTTGTAACTTTGCTTATGGTATTGTTTTTTTTTAAACCTTTATTGTAAAATAAAACACATTAAACTGCACAAAATAATTGAATAGTTTAATGAATAAGGTGAAAGCTATAGTAACCACCACCAGCTCTCATATTTTTTTAAATTAATTTTATTGATTTAAGAGTTGACTTTATCAATCAGCTGTTTTATCATTTCTGGATTTAGGGTTGTAAATGATATGATAAAGGAATTCTCCAGTATTTTCCTTAAGAACTTTTGTGGTTTCAGTGAGGTATGGGGTGAATCCTGCATCCAGCTTGTTTTTTCTACCATAGGTCTACAAACTGTATGTTGAACCATTGATTTGAGATGTCACCTTTTTTTTCACATAAACCCATACCGTATTTTGGAGCTTCCATTGTTTCATTGATTTTACTGTCAGTTAATACACAGGTACCACACTGTTTTAATCCTTGAGTCTTTAACATTTACTTTAATCGCAGTAGGTCATATTTGTGGTTGGATTCGGAGGAATTGTTTTTTTATTTTGTTTTTGCCACATTGAGCTTCAGTTGTCAGTGAAAAGCCTATGGAAGCACTCAAAAAACTAGAGAAAAAAAGTACATCCCTTATCACATAGGTTGAATTTCAGAACAAA